CCTCCCATCCACGTACTAAGTTTCCAAGGTCTGATGACCATCCGGGTCCTGGCAAAGTAAAATTACACCCACCAAAACATTTTACTTTAGACAGCCACTAAAGAGAGAGGAGGAGGATGGGTGGGGCCTACGGGAATCATCTGTACATAAAGGGAACTGTGCCCACAGTAAACTGTGCTCTTGAAACACACTCTTTGCATATGGATCCTAAGTTACCTAAGGAAACACCTTTTCCGGTACAATTCAAGGCATTAAGATCTTTGAGTTCATAGCCACTGCTTTTGCTGTTACTTCTTTACCACGTGAGTGGATGAACGTGCCAAACGGCACCTTCTCTATCATAAGAATACTAATGAATCTTACCTCTGCTTGTAGACTTCCAGTTTCAGGCCGTCTCGTTCTTTTGCCAACTCTTTACTATGCTGCCGATACAAAATACAAATAGGAATACTAATGAATCTTACCTCTGCTTGTAGACTTCCAGTTTCAGGCCGTCTCGTTCTTTTGCCAACTCTTTACTATGCTGCCGATACAAAATACAAATTAATCAGACACAGAGATCAGGACCCCAGGTACTTATAGACTACTTACTCCCTCCATTTATACCCTGCCTTTCTCCCACAAACTGTAAAGCAGCCTGCATAGGCAATGACTAGATCCAGACCTACTCAGCTTTTAGGAAGTGCACAGCACCACTGGAAGGCATATGTAAACTTCAGAACGGTAAGTCTTTTAACACTTCCCCATTCATTTCCAAATTCCGAGGATGTTTATTATTTCCCCTCACGTACAACCCTTGTGGATGCAAAGGGAGAGCCTGAAAGGGCAGGCGGCACAATCTACCCGCTGCATTTTCATCTGACCCCATCCCTCTCCAAGGGACTCGGGGCAGGACACACACTTCCCTGCTCTCTGTTGCCCTCCCAACCACTCTGCGTCAGGCCGAGAGAGAGTGACTGGCCTAAGGTCAGCCGGTAAACTTCGTGGCAAGTGGCAGAGCACATGTTTTGCACGCAGCCAGCCTCAGACTCAATCCCCAACCCCTCCAGTTGAAAAAGCCTAGGCAGGGAACGACTTGGCTCTGCCAGAGACCCTGGTAATCCGCCACCAATACAAAGCATGACTTTGCTACTGACATCAGTAAAACTGATATCCCAGATGGGATTCCCCTTCTTGGTGTACGTGGGATGAATTTATCAATTACTGGTTGTGTACAACCAGCTTGGGAGAACTCCTGAGCCCAGCCGTGCTTCCAGAAGAGTTAGCTGGTGCTTTCACTCGGAGCGCTTTCTCTTGATTACTTCTTGCACAGAGACTCAGCTGAAGTGAAGCTTCCCTCTTCAGTCTTCTGTGCAGTCCCACACCGGGAGAGTGCTTGCGCAGGCCAAAAACAGAGTCCCCAATGCGAGCCTTCACAGAAGACAACTTGATGAACAACAGTTACGGGTCAAGGCAACACAGATTCATCTTCTGTTAACAAGCAGAGCTTCACAGAGAGCTTCAGTCTTCTGTACAGTCCCACACCGGGAGAGTGCTTGCGCAGGCCAAAAACAGAGTCCCCAATGCGAGCCTTCACAGAAGACAACTTGATGAACAACAGTTACGGGTCAAGGCAACACAGATTCATCTTCTGTTAACAAGCAGAGCTTCACAGAGAGCTAACGGTAAAAAAGAACTACTCTAGAACTTCAATTCGTGCAAAACATGGTGGCCCTCACTGGAGCCCAACAACCAATGAAGTAATACCAATCCGATAACAGCTTCCCTGGTTGCTGATTTGTTTCCAGATTCCATTTACGCAAGACGGTTCTTACCTTTAAAAGCCTTTCATGACATGGGGACTAGATACTGAAGGACAATTTTTCCTGGTTGGTATGAATCCACGTGCGGAGTTCGCCATCCCTCTGCTCTTGGCTGGTGGCACCACCCCATGGAAAGGTATATTCATCTGCAGCCCACTTATGGGCTCAACGGACTATAACTCTAATTCTCTGGAATGGGCTACCGGCAGCAGATAAGGGGAGCATCCTCCCTCCTGATGTTTCAGGGAGCTTTCAGTGGAACCTGCTCTCGAATATGGCGGACAATTTCTTTTTTTACATTACATTAGCGATTTATATACCGCCCTATCCATGAGGCTCAGAGCGGTTTTACAGACACAATTTCATCTAAGCTAGGAGTACAATGGTAAGGGGAGGGAATGATCTGTGAACATGTTGTAAAATGTGTTGCTTTACACCTGTTTTATGTCTGATGTGCAAGCTGCCTTGGGTCCTTGCTTTCAGGACGAAAAGTGGTGGTATGAATATTTTAATTAAACCAAAGGAAGCCCACCTGATACTGAGCCATGGAACACATGGAATTCACTGTCACAGGAGGTGGCGGTGGCTAGAAGCACGGACGGCTTCAAGAGGGAATTAGATGCTAAGAGTACAATGGCAAGGGGAGGGAATGATCTGTGAACATGTTGTAAAATGTGTTGCTTTACACCTGTTTTATGTCTGATGTGCAAGCTGCCTTGGGTCCTTGCTTTCAGGACGAAAAGTGGTGGTATGAATATTTTAATTAAACCAAAGGAAGCCCACCTGATACTGAGCCATGGAACACATGGAATTCACTGTCACAGGAGGTGGCGGTGGCTAGAAGCATGGACGGCTTCAAGAGGGAATTAGATAAGCATATGGAGCAGAGGTCCATCCGTGGCTAT